AGGTCCCATTAAATGTAATAGGTGACCCACCCACACATAAGATTCATTACACACATTTAATGAATGGTGTCCATTTGAATTTGAGCTTGGTTGGCCAGCTGTGCCACTTCTGATGTTGTGTATGACTGGCTAATTCATCTGTCTCCTGATCTGACAGACCAAGCTAAGCCAAACCTGATGTGGCTGGATGATCAGTCAAGCTATGCTACTCCTGGTCTGGTTAGGTGGCTAGTCAAGCTATGTTTCTCCAGGTTTGATTAGCCAAATCATTCTGTTACTGATGTGTTTGGCTGGTAGGTTGGTGAACAAATGCTCCTAATACGGTTAGGTGATCGCTGAAGTTATGCCACTCGTAGTGTGTCTGGGTGATCGCTGAAGCGGTGCCACTCGTGGTGTGTTTGGGTGGTTGGCCAAGCTATGCTACTTGTGCTGTGTTTGGGTGCTTGGCCAAGCTATGCTACTCTTGGAATGTTTGGGTGCTTGGCCAAGCTATCCTACTCATGGAGTGTTTGGGTGCTTGGCCAATCTATGTTACTTATGGAGTGTTTGGATGCTTAGCCAAGCTATGCTGCTTGTGGAGTGTTTGGGTGCTTGGCCAAGCTATGCTACTAGTGGTGTGTTTGGCTGGTTGGCTAAGCTATGCTACTCGTGCTGTGCTTAGATGCTTGGACAAGCTACGCTACTCGTGGAGTGTTTGGATGCTTGGCCAAACTATGCTACTCGTGGTGTGCTTGGATGCTTGGCCAAGCTATGCTACTCGTGGAGTGTTTGGGTGCTTGGCCAAGCTATGCTACTCGTGGTGTGTTTGGCTGGTTGGCTAAGCTATGCTACTTGTGTTGTGTATGGGTGCTTGGCCAAGCTATGCTATTCGTGGAATGTTTGGATGCTTGGCCAAGCTATGCTACACATTATATGTTTTTCTAAATTATGCTATTTGTAGTGTATTTGATTGGCTATGCTTTACCACTCTTGGTGTGTTTGGCTAAGCTATTTCATTCTTGGTTTTATGGCCAAGCTATGTTATTTTTGGTGTGATTATTACTTGGCAAAACTTGAAACAGACTTACAGGAGTAATACATAACATTCAGGTCTGCTTGCTGTCAGGGGTAGTGCCTTTGCTGATTTGTCACAGAGAGATTCGTATTTAGGTGTGGTGGTCACATACACTTATGTTAGAGGCACCTGTCCTATCTTTTAATTATTCTGTAGAGCAGGTGCACAGAAAGGTGAGGTACATTATATATTTCCATTTGTCAGATCCACTGAGGTCTCACTCACTTGTCTTAAAACCTCCAGCATATTTCACATTAATAATAATCTGATTATTTGCAAGGAAGTGTTGTTTATGGTTATGCTAGATTGTCCTCTACATTAATATTACTCAACGTAATGTTACTCATTTTATTGACCTTGGAAGGATGAAGAGTAGTTTTGACCTTCTGCGGAATCACTTTACAGTTGATTTTCTAGCTGTTGAACTATTTCACCAGCTAATACATCCAATATATCAATTTATATTTAAATATTAGAAGCCTGAAGAATATAAGGAATACAATTTGATACCCTGAAAACAGATTATACAAAAGTCCCTTACATTAAAGTGAACATACTGCAGAGATTCGGAATTGCAACCAGTTGTTCAACTCAGTGGTACATTATCAGGGCAGTGAGTTACTTACTGTCTCAGCAAAACTCAATCTTAAACCAGCTAATTTCACTCTACAAGCTAAAAGTCATTATCTCCCTGTGCCCCCTGTAGAGCCTGTGCAGGCCGACAGCCCAGGAGTCGAACATTGGCAAATCTGCTCACCGCCTCGGGCTAGCAAAAGAATTGATTGGGCATAGTATGGGGAGGTTAGATAATTAAAATCTGTACTTACTCCTCCCACCATAAAAGCTTTTGAGGGAACGACTGCCTGGGGAGATGCAGTCAGCAAAGTTAAAATTGTAATTTTCGTTGGGATCCATAAAAAGCGTCAGCCAGCATTCCTGTTATTGCAAATTGTCATCATGGAACCAATTTGGTTGCAGATGGTGCTGGGGCTGGAACCGAGCCATGCCAGCTGTCTCTTGCACCATTAAAGACACTCTGTGATTAGGTCTTTCCCATTTCTATTACCAGACATCTTGCTCAACAAGAGAAGCCCTCTAGTGGCCTTTAGAACTTTAGCAGTTATCAAGTCTAACAATCTTTCTGTGTAGAATGGGAACCCTCGGTACCCATCAGTTTTCCAGAGAAGTCAGAGTTAGCCAATGACAATTCATGCTACTGCGTATATAAAAATGTTACAGGTAATACTTTGTTAATCTGTAAGTGTATCTTTCTTGAGGTTGATGGAACCGTTTTATGTATCACATATACAGGGAGTGCAGAATTATTAGGCAAATGAGTATTTTGACCACATCATCCTCTTTATGCATGTTGTCTTACTCCAAGCTGTATAGGCTCGAAAGCCTACTACCAATTAAGCATATTAGGTGATGTGCATCTCTGTAATGAGAAGGGGTGTGGTCTAATGACATCAACACCCTATATCAGGTGTGCATATTTATTAGGCAACTTCCTTTCCTTTGGCAAAATGGGTCAAAAGAAGGACTTGACAGGCTCAGAAAAGTCAAAAATAGTGAGATATCTTGCAGAGGGATGCAGCACTCTTAAAATTGCAAAGCTTCTGAAGCGTGATCATCGAACAATCAAGCGTTTCATTCAAAATAGTCAACAGGGTCGCAAGAAGCGTGTGGAAAAACCAAGGCGCAAAATAACTGCCCATGAACTGAGAAAAGTCAAGCGTGCAGCTGCCACGATGCCACTTGCCACCAGTTTGGCCATATTTCAGAGCTGCAACATCACTGGAGTGCCCAAAAGCACAAGGTGTGCAATACTCAGAGACATGGCCAAGGTAAGAAAGGCTGAAAGACGACCACCACTGAACAAGACACACAAGCTGAAACGTCAAGACTGGGCCAAGAAATATCTCAAGACTGATTTTTCTAAGGTTTTATGGACTGATGAAATGAGAGTGAGTCTTGATGGGCCAGATGGATGGGCCCGTGGCTGGATTGGTAAAGGGCAGAGAGCTCCAGTCCGACTCAGACGCCAGCAAGGTGGAGATGGAGTACTGGTTTGGGCTGGTATCATCAAAGATGAGCTTGTGGGGCCTTTTCGGGTTGAGGATGGAGTCAAGCTCAACTCCCAGTACCTACTGCCAGTTCCTGGAAGACACCTTCTTCAAGCAGTGGTACAGGAAGAAGTCTGCATCCTTCAAGAAAAACATGATTTTCATGCAGGACAATGCTCCATCACACGCGTCCAAGTACTCCACAGCGTGGCTGGCAAGAAAGGGTATAAAAGAAGAAAATCTAATGACATGGCCTCCTTGTTCACCTGATCTGAACCCCATTGAGAACCTGTGGTCCATCATCAAATGTGAGATTTACAAGGAGGGAAAACAGTACACCTCTCTGAACAGTGTCTGGGAGGCTGTGGTTGCTGCTGCACGCAATGTTGATGGTGAACAGATCAAAACACTGACAGAATCCATGGATGGCAGGCTTTTGAGTGTCCTTGCAAAGAAAGGTGGCTATATTGGTCACTGATTTGTTTTTGTTTTGTTTTTGAATGTCAGAAATGTATATTTGTGAATGTTGAGATGTTATATTGGTTTCACTGGTAATAATAAATAATTGAAATGGGTATATATTTGTTTTTTGTTAAGTTGCCTAATAATTATGCACAGTAATAGTCACCTGCACACACAGATATCCCCCTAACATAGCTAAAACTAAAAACAAACTAAAAACTACTTCCAAAAATATTCAGCTTTGATATTAATGAGTTTTTTGGGTTCATTGAGAACATGGTTGTTGTTCAATAATAAAATTAATCCTCAAAAATACAACTTGCCTAATAATTCTGCACTCCCTGTACTTGTGCCATGCATGTCCTCCACCTGGGTAAATGTAGAGTAAATACTGTGACAGATTTAATGTTCTAGGGCAGGAAAGGACTAATGGAAGACCAACAGATGTAACAGAAATAGAGTTTTCATGATGCTTAGAGCTGGCAAATCAGCAACAGATGGAGTGGTGAATAGCTTGTGGCCACCTTTGCTCTCGTGAGTTACAGTATGGTGACCATGTACATGTTAACTGTAAGCCATGTTGGAGATAACTTGCTTACTTAAAGATCGCAAATGTGTTGTCAAATCAACACACAACACTATTTAGAGAACATACCCCTTTCTCCATTGCGGATTAAAGAGCGCTAGCACAGCTGGTGTGTCTTTAGAAACGATGATGAAACTGAATGACAGCTAAGTATCAGCATCGATCAACTGTTCTGCTCCCATCACTGGGTGATGGAGTAATCCTATACACTGTGTTGACTGTAATAGATTTTATTGGATCGTCATCTAAACAAAACGACTTATGAGACCATAAAAGGTCATTCTCAGTGCACAGAACAATTTAGCCTAATATTTAATCAAATGATATATCCCGGACCTGCTGTATTATTTCATTGGGAAATAACACATGATCTGTCCTTATTTAAGAATCCATGTCATTTTTTTTTTCTATGAAAAATTAGCTTTCAAAGTTGTACTTTTCAAGATTGTTACGGAGTGTTGGATGACTGCCCCCTAGTGTTGGAATTCCCACAGGGGAATCAAGGCAGCTGAACAGATCAAAGGTTACTATAGGGGAAGGGATTCAATGTCCCTTTAGACAATAAAATACCATCTATATGTTTCGCTAGCCAAACTGTCACCAAATATATGATTTACATTGTATTTAATAATGCATACAGTTAATGACTCCCTACCACTGGCAAGACCTTTTCTGATGCCCTTTATGCAAGCACCACAACTATTCTGGTAAGCTACTAGCAACTGGCTACTTGTTTCTATTTTGAACAATGACTACTTACAAGTCTTCTGTTAATGCATGCTATTTTTATCATCTCTATGCCATCATCTAGAGCTGTGCTATCCACCTCTTTTCAGATGGTTACAGTTATACTGCTGGCACTACTAGTCACCTCCATGTTGTTGGCTCCCGATATACTAGTCACCTCTATGTTGTTTTCTCCAGACATGCTAATAACCTCCATGTTGTTGGCTCCAGACATGCTAGTCACCTCCATGTTGTTGGTTCCAGACATTCTCGTCACCTCCATGTTGTTGACTCCAGATATGCTCGTCACCTCCATGTTGTTGACTCCAGACATGCTCGTCACCTCCATGTTGTTTTCTCCAGACATGCTCGTCACCTCCATGTTGTTTGCTACAGACATGCTAATAACCTCCAGTTTGTTTGCTCCAAACATGCTGATAGCCTCCATGTTGTTGACTCCAGACATGCTGGTCACCACCGTGTTGCAGGCTCCAGACATGCTAGTCACCACCATGTTGTTTGCTCCATACATGCTAATAACCTCCATGTTGTTGGCTCCAGATATGCTCATCAACTCCATGTTGCAGGCTCCAGACATGCTAGTCACCACCATGTTGTTTGCTCCATACATGCTAATAACCTCCATGTTGTTGGCTCCAGATATGCTCATCAACTCCATGTTGCTGGCTCCAGACATGCTAGTCACCACCATGTTTTTTGCTCCATACATGCTAATAACCTCCATGTTGTTGGCTCCAGATATGCTCATCAACTCCATGTTGCTGGCTCCAGACATGCTAGTCCCCTCCATGTTGTTGGCTCCAGATATGCTCATCAACTCCATGTTGCTGGCTCCAGACATGCTAGTCCCCACCATGTCGTTTGCTCCAGACATGCTAATAACCTCCATGTCATTGGCTCCAAATATGCTCATCAACTCCATGTTGTTGGCTCCAGACATGCTCGTCACCGCCATGTCGTTGGCTCGAGACATGCTAATAATCTTTATATTTTGTGCTCCACCTATGCTAGCTTGCATAGCATTGTTGGATTGAGAAGTGAACATTGTGGGATCCATTAACATTTTACTTAACATTTGCTAAGGATTTTGCCAAGGATTTTTCACCTATTCCCTTTCTGGTGATATCTCTAGCACTCTTGTACTTACCTGCAGCTGACCTTACACTCTAGGAATTTATGAATGAAAAATCCACTTTGTTTATTTTGAAGGGAAAGTGGACAGTGAAGAAAATTGACTTTTACCTGTCATTTTCTCCTTTTTATTCGGTATTTTTATGTGTTATTACTTGTAGAGTAAATGGATTGGTTCGATAGTTTGAAACTACCGAACGCCGACCACCCTCCTGGCTCATTTACTTCAAAGGAACCAGCTATTAAGTGCTCCCTGGGCGGCCGCTGTTCGTACAACCAAACGCCACGTGGAAAAGAAAATGGCGGCCATCTTGTTGGCACGAGGAGAGCCAGCGGGACTTGGTCGTCGAGTGTCTGGAACTAAAATCGGACACTCGACCTCGCGAACTACCGCTGAAAACTACTGAACGCCGGCTTCTCATATTTCCCGAACAGCCAGGAAAGCTTCATTCGGTAGTTCTGTGCGAACGGACAAGGGGAGCAATCGCTACCATGGGCCAGGCTGATCCATTCGGGACTTTTGTTAGTTTTTTACAGTTTTGTGAATTGACCGACTGCACACGCTGAATTCGTGGAACTGTTTTGGGCAGGAGCTGCGTGTGTGGTCAGTAAAAGGGACCCTCCAGACTTTTTCAGAACCTCTGAACCAATCTGGGTGAAATTTGGATATGTTTGTCCCCCAGATCGGGGCTATCAGTGGATATGTAATTTGTGGGGATACCTTGTGGGGAAAGGGGTGTTCTAAGTTTTAGGGAAATTGTGTGCTCTCTGCCTGGAGATAATTGGTTTATTCCTTAACTTATCTCAATATCTCCCAGGCAGAGAGGAGGCGTGTATTACTGTAAATCTATGTGTTGATTGGTTATTGTCTTTGTTTGCTGTGGGAGGTCCTCTTGCAGGAGGATTTCTCATAAAAGCCCGTGTGTTGTCAATAAAATTCATTCCGGTTACACCCTTCATGAAGTCTAGGCTCATGTTTGGGGGATATTCTACTTGCTGGGAAGAATCACCTTGGAACGGCATTTCATCTATCTTATTCCTCTGCTCCCTGCTGCAGCTATAATCACTCATGCTCAGCTGTTGGGAGAGGGAACCAAAGACCGCAGCACCATAACCACTGCAGGTCTTAACATGGACGAACCTAGTATTTTGTTCCAAAGGGCCCGTAGAATATACACATTAAATAACACCATTAGTTCTCTTTATTCGCCCCACACACAATTTAGGAACAATTTACCAACCCTAACCCTAATACATCCCAGTTATCACATCGCTTGCATCACCTGTAGCCCGTACAGTTCTATACAACACATTATAAAAACAAAACATAAACAGCGTAGCGGTCAGAGTGACTTGTTATAGGCCAGCAGCTCCATTATCTTTTCTAAATACCATCTGCAAATGACTGTTCTAAACTACAGATAACTTCGTGAAAACAGACAAGCAACAGACATTTCAGTTTCTTGGGAGTTTCTTAACGTGAGAATTCTTTATCCATGCAATCTTTTTGGGGTAAAAACATGGGGTCTATTTATATGTCTGTCACACAATCAAACCTAATGTTTCTGTTCGTTTCCCTATATTGTCCCTGTCTGGTTTGTCTTTGATGGGGTAACCGATACTCTGTGTCTCTGTGCCCACTCACTCCTTGGCCTTTACTGCTGCTGCCAAGCACAGTAGCAATTAGAACTAAGTATCTCCCTTGGGAAGAAGGCCGAGTCCACAGCTTGTCAGGTTGTTTACCAATCTCTCACATCCCCTTAAACAAACCTTTCCCGTTTGTCTCATCCATCCTAATTCTCTCTGATTACCCGCTGCTCCCCAGGGGATTGCTTTATCCTCACTGGCAGTTCCCATCCTGACGCCTCTATCATTCTGCCATGAGGCACAGCTTATTGCTTGCGCGAATGGCTCCAATCAGGAAAGAGTTACGAGCTCAAAGGGGGAGTGAAGCGGGAGGAAGACGAAGCCTTTAGGGACTGCAGCTTTCCTTGAATTGTTCTCAATGACTCCTTATAAATTGCCACATAAAAAAAGGTTCTGTTTTTTTATCCATTTTATCTCCTTCTTCACATTCTATTTACCCTTTTGTGTAGAATGCAATAAGGCTTCTTTACAGTGGAATTGCCATCAGGTCATCTTGACACTGATTGTTTCTGTATCGGGAGGGATGGAGGGGATAAAACTTAACTCTACCTAAGCTGTTGGCTTTTACCGTAGGATTTAGCAGCCCCCTCCTGTCAGCAGGTGCATGCCCCCCTCTAACTAATCAGCTCTTGGAAAAGCAAGAATTCTTGTAAAACATCCTCATATGTATTTTAAATATGCGTGAATTATACAACTGAGCAATAACTGATGTGAAGCCAATAATCTCAAGGTGTGCTTTATTTAGGAGGGTAAATGTTCCTTTCCTCTGCTATAATTGGGGTAAGGTTCTCTTTTTGAGTAATATTATAATATAAATATAGATGGAACTTGTGAGAGACCTGTTGCTCAAAATAAGACATGTGTTAGAAATATAAGGTGTGATTTTATTAAAAGTAAGAATGGCTTTAGAGATGCACCGCATGGTAAAATGTACAGGACCAAGTCCCTCCGTACCAGTTGTTGATTGCTGCTTAGGGTCAACATGTCCAATGTTGAGTGGGACAATTCACTTTTCCCGTGAATTTTTGTTCATTCCCAGAGTCTGCCCTGATGCCTTGCCATGCCCCCTCTAGTTATAAAGTAATTGGCTTTGTCACTGTGTGTATTTTGAGTTCTCCACCGGCACAGTCTAGGTTTTCAATATCCATTCTAGGTAGTAGGCCAGTATCTGGCTATCTTGATGTCCAGATAATGCAAACTGTATATGTCTTATATAAAGCCTATGCATATATAACATTAAATAAATCTTGCACATACAAGAGCTTGGTTTAAACTGGAACCTGTTTGGTTCTGTATTGAGAAGCTGCTTGCTGTTGCTTTCCGTTGCTCTGGTATTCCTGTATATTGTAACTGTAACTGTCCTACTGACTGTCACTGCTCACATCCATGGTATAGTCTCTACAAGTGCCTATTGCCCATGGGTTCAAATTGTGGACAGAAATGGTTGTTACTAATTGCTCTACACTCCTCTTAATCAAGGGTTCTCTTCCAGTACATTAAATCCATGACAGCTCAGTAACAACCACCTGTTAGTCACAGTGTCCATGGGCTGCCCATACCATGCATATGCACCACTTGCAGATCTCTTAGAGTTGGAAGTCACATGTCCAGAATTCATCTCCTGTACGCTGTGCTCAGTGTAGACAACCATAGGTGCTGAAGCAATATATGCTATTGAGCCCAGGCCGTGACTAGCTGTGGTGGTCAGAAAGCATAAAGAGAGAACAATGGCAAGGTGTCCTAGTGTAATGAAAGCAGGGAGGATCTAAAGTACAACCCACAGTGTGTGACATCAGAAGGAATACATAGCTTCTTCCTGACCAGTACAAGATCTTGTACAGCATGTGCACACCGTGCAAATCCTAACTTTGTAAAAAGGCATTAATGAAACGAGTTGCAAGTTAAAAGCTGCTGCTAAGTAGTTTTTAATAAAAAAAAACTCCTGACAACCAAACTATATATATATATATCACGACAAGATCATATACAGCATGTGTGCATATCCTATATATGCTGTATAAACTCAGGATGGAGCTATGTGAAGAACTAAACTTCTCAATATTTAGAAGTTAGTTAAACGGTTACTCCAACCAGCCCGCTGCAGTAGTTATGATAGCACGGGTAACCTGGTGCCGTTCTCCAGTAGTGGGGCAAACCACTTGCCTTCCTCCCTGATGCTTAGCTTGACCACTGAAGTTGTCATGGTGCTGGAGTAACTCTTTAAGCTCCCCAGGATGTTCCTTGGCATGAAAACTGTGGAGATCCCGGCACTAGCATTAGTCAGTGATTAGTCAGCATGGCTTCCTGGACTTGTACTTTCCTAGCCTCACTTGCCAAGATAACACCTCGTAAAATCCCATCTCAGAGTTATGAATATTTGCATTTTGAGAGCTTTTGTAGATTTGGTTTGGGGACATCACTTATATAGGCACCGGACTCTTGTCAGGATCCACGAAGACGTGTGTTTCAATTCTCCTTTTTTTTTTTATAGATTCTATTTATGGACAATACTAAGAAATCTTGAGTCTATTTTAGGAATAGGTTTATAATGATTAAATTAGTCTTTAGATTTTTGTGCAATATTAAATTGGAACTCACTGAATAACCCATAAACAAGAACGCTATTGTAAAATAAAGGTAACAAACACGATAAGGTAAACAGAGACACAGGGAGAGTTTATTCCCTAAACACGAATTATAACAAACTGAATATGAATTTTAAAATTTACTCTAATGTAGCCAAGTCGTGACTATAACTATGCTGGAAAAAAAATTTAGATCAGTTATTTTTGTCAAATTTCCCTATTTGGAATTCAGCGGGCTACAAATCTCTGCTTAGTGAATAAACTGCAGAGAGAGTGAATATCTAAAATTCATTATTGCTCACCTAGAAACTGCTTGCAATGTTAATCATATGTGTGTCCGCAGGGAAAAGTTTCTTAGAATAGTCAACAAAACAAACAAACAAACAAATATATAAAACAAAGGCCTGATGTCAAGAATTGGTTCAATATGAAAAATCACACTCAGTGCACCCTGAGCTTTAATTAGATTGTAAGTTTGTTTGGACAGATCACTAGATTATTATGCTTGTTAGGTAAAATACCATTGCAGTCTACCTGGCAAACATCATTAAAATAAATGGCAACTAAGGAAGAAAATGTTTTATTTAGCAAT